GCAGTTGGTATCCATTGAATTAATTAAAAGAAGAAAATATGATAGGTAATTATTGTAGAATGTAACTCTGAGAACCTCTATTTTGGGGGTTGAAACGTTTGAATTATGAGAAATATGCATTGATTTACAGTGAAAAAGATAAATAAGATATGAAGAAATATTTTTAAGTAAATTTAGTTTGTTGCAATCATGTTGTAAAATGTAATCCTTGGTTTGGTATTTGTTTGTTTATAGGTGGTACTGGTCACCAACAAAATTGCTAAAAGTTATAAATCAGCCTCTAAGAATTGTTGGAGATGTAAAACTAATATAGGAACTTTTTTCATATGTGGTGGAGGTGTGGAAAAATATATAGATTTTGGCAAAATGTTCAATTTAAAACTGTTACCGGAAATCTATTTGTTGAATATAATCCCAAATCATTATGAGCAATGTGATATGTACTTATTCTGTACTTTTGATGTATTTAGTTCCCATAGCAATGTATATTTATTTCTATTGAAACTGTAAAACTCCACTCTCTTCTGACTATATTGCTTTGGAATGTTAACTACTGATAAGCTTTTCTCCCTATGTTAGATTTGTCTAGACCACAATAGTTGCTAACACACACTCTCCAAAATTGTTATCTCTATAAAACTTGGCATGGGGGATAAATCTATAGAATCTCTTTGGTGTAAATACAATTTTGGAAAAATGATTTGTAATGATAAATTTCAAAAGACCCCAGAGGCTTTTTTGTTAGTTACACCAGATTCTATGGTAAATAAACCTATTCAGGCTTCCTTGGAAGACTCACTGTGGTCATAAAAAAGCAGTTGAAAAAGCCTTTCATTCAGTACAGAAATCCAAATATTGATGCAACAACTCAAAATTAAGCGGGAAACAGCCCAGACAGCAAAAGTGGAGAAAAAATGACCTGGCCATAGAGGCCACTCTCCAAAGCAGTTATTTTCTTGTGTGTGGGGGATCTGTTGTCTGGAGTTCAGTTGTGATACCTGGCAATTTTCAGGCTCCACCTGGAGGTTGGCTACCCTAGGCATAACAGTCAGCGTTTCAGAACAGTGTCTGCTAGACCCAGGTTTTTGCTGCGGCAGCTGACTGGGTGATTTTGGACCAGTCACAGACTTTTAGCCTAACCTACCTCACAGGGTTGTTGTGCAAGTCAAAAGGGGGAGAGGAGAATGATGCAATCTGCTTTGGTCCCCATTGCAGAGAAAGACTACTTTTCCTCATGGGGAACCATTGTTGCCAATCTCCAGGTGAGGGCTGGAGATCACTCAGAATTCAACTGCTTTCCAGATGGTAGAGATCACATTCAACCATAAAAATACCAGTGCTATGGAGATGCTAATTCAAGCCTCTTTTCTACCTAGATAGGTCGTACCAATGTTGTGCATAAGAAAGCAGATGTTTGAAAAGAAAATTAAAGCCCCCTTTCCTGCAAGCAAGGCCTTGTGCAAGCAGAATGTGATTGGTTCAACCTGAACATTAATTATTCTGCCTATTAACAACTGATGTCTGTAAATCTCTCAAATGCAACCTATCATTACTGTTTAAATGCTTACATTGTATTGTGTGAAGCTGTGCAAATATGACTAATAAAACTTCTGCTAATGTAGAACTAGGTCAAGTTTGAATTAATTTTCTATATATTTATCCCAAACTTCTTAAATGCCTTCTTATTTGGGGGTATTCTCTAGGCTCCTATTTTAGCAAAATTATGAATATTAAAGGGCAATAGACATAAAATATTTGGAAATACCAGAATCCCCAGAGCCTGTGAATAGATGAGGAGACCAGGTTGATGAAATAATTGGACTTTTACTGAATAATTTTCAAGCATACAATAAAATTAGCAAACACACACACACTCAATACAGTACTAGAAAAAGCAGATGTGAAAAGATAGCAACGTTTGCATCAGCAGGAAGTATCATTAGAAGCAGGAAGTATCGTTGGGGGGTGAAGTCCGGAAGGTGATGGACAAAGGCTTTGCAAGCTCTCTAAAAAGTTTGGAGGGCCATAACTCAGACCCCGTAAATCCAATCCTCACCAAACTTGGAGGGCAGGTAGAGGAGTGTTAGAGATCCCCTATGAGTGTGGTGTCTCTAGCCTACTGGGGTGTTATTCTACTGGGTCACAAACCTGATGAACCAAACCAGTTTGGCCCCTCAAATGTTGTGACAGTTTGTGATACATGAACCAGGCATACCATGAACTGGACTACATTTTTCTGGTTTGTGCCATCCCTAGAGAAGAACCATGTGTGCTGCTCCCAGTTCCTGTGAGCAAGAAGAGGTTAAAAACATAATAGACAACAGATATGCACACACAGAGTTTTGGTGTCCTCCATTATAACACTGAACAGACACACATACAAAACCAATAGCCATGTGTTCCCAGTCACAATGTTCTGAGCTAAGCAGAAATGGATTGAGAGCCTTAATCACTGAAAAATCAAATCAACTTGGGAAATACGGGTCAGGGAAGTCATTACTTTTCTTTCTGTGAAAGAAGATTTGCTTAAATCAGCTACTGCTTGCTCTAATTTCCTGATTACAAGTGCAGTTTGTACCCAGCTGGTCCTCATTCCATTATCAGGCAAAGAAATCTGCAGTCCTCAATTAAACATGGATGTACTTTGGTCTGATTTAATGATCATCAAAAGTTCTTGTGTCTTAATAAACTAGGAGCATAAATTCAGTGAGCTGGGCCCTGGTGACATCAAAGAACAAATAATTTGGTGCTAATTAAAAAAAACTCATCTTAAAAAAATGTGCTGTAGAGTGTCCCAGCATGGGTTATTTCAGAGCATGATCACTTATCAAACATATGTCAGAATGGTGACTGAGTGGCAGACTTCTGGTTTTTGGCGCAGCAGTGGCGGTCAGCTCCAGGGCTTGCTCCTGAGTAGCCTGTTGGATCGCTGGGTTTCAGGAGGGGCTTAACTCTGGACTCTCCACAAGCAGCAGTGAGTGGATTGAGTTTAGAGCCACCATGAAGCAAAACCGAGGTGAGAGCTTCTGTGGGCAGCCATAGCAGCAGAGCTGTGACTATTGGACCAAGGGAGAGAACAACAAGAAATAGCCACAAAAATTATGTATGCAAAACAAAATTCTTTTGAACATGCTAACAAACCGACTAGATGGTTAGTGTACAAACTATGGAAAGAAAAAGAAAAGAGGAATATAAAAAAAATTAAGAAATGAGGAAGGTGGGGTAAGGCTGAGTCATTGTCTTCTAGGAGTTCCCCAGGCTATGAACATGCTAATGGAGGAGCTTTCCTGAGGAGGTTCTTTTGTATATGGATTGTTTCCTGAGGAGGTTTCCTGTTTCCTGAGGAGATTCTTTTGTATGTGGATTGGCTGTTGAAATCCTAATCTTATCTGTAATGCTATTGTCAGATGTAGAGCCTTTTGTGTTTTTCAGGACAGGACAGCATTCAGACAAGAATAAAAGAACATGAAAGACACTGCAGACTTGGCCAACCTGAAAAATCACCAGTACCTGAACACTGCCTAATTCAAACAGGACACAATATTTTGTTCCAAGACACTGAAAGGCTGGACAACACTTCCAATTACCATGTCAGATTATGCAGGGAAGCCATTGAAATTCATAAACATAAACAGAATTTCAACAGGAAAGAAGAGAGTTTAAAAATAAATAGGGCATGGTTTCCTGTCCAGTGGACATTCAAATCCATTGTTGGCCTCCCCTGCTGATAATGCTGGTTTCTGACCAGCCCAAACTGTGCTTCACTGTTGAGGCAAGCCCACTCTGACTGCTGTTTTTCCACAGAAAATTCCTTCCTATTCTTAACATGTTTTACGACAATGATTTTCTAACCCAGATATATTTCTAGCCCAGATGGCCCAGTCTGGCCTGATCCTTTACATGGGTAAGAGAAATTAGAGAACAGAAATCAGAGAGATAACTGACAGATAGGGAGTAAAGCCATGGTAGCAGTGAGAAATCAGATGACTGGAATCACAGTCGAGTCCAGGATGCTTGAGGCAAAATTTTGCTGAAGACTTGGGTCAAGGAAAACGAACATGATCAAAAATGAAGAGTACAGCATTATAGAATTCCAGAAGAAAGAGATTGCAATGGTCTACAGGAGAGAGATACAAATCATGAACAATGGGATTTAGCAGCATTGGTTTAGGAAATGAATGAAGACTTTTTGTTTTGAAAAAGTTCTAAAAATATGGTTTTGGATCTTTACACTGCTTATAACTCCTTCTGATGTTATCTCAGTGGCATGGGAGCTGGAGCATTATTTCTCCTTCCCACACTACTCTGATAATATATCAAAAGCCTGAACACATGATGAAGGAGTCTGCAACATGGCTCTTTTCCTTAATAGGATTGCCCAAGCTCCCTGAAAGGTCCACACTGATGTGGGAACTAGTACTTTGCTGGCTCACATGACCCAAGATAATGTGGGGAAACAAACACGCGTGAACTCCATTGCAGTGAGAGAGAAAAAAGAGGGCTTAAGAATTCCAGGGGATGTTGAATGCATAGGATAGTTTGATCTTATCAGATCTCGGAAGTCAAGCGGGATCAGGACTTGGATGGGAGACTACCAAGGAAGCCTCTACAGAGGAAGGAAAAGGCGAACTATCTCTGCTTTTCACTTGCCTTGAAAGCCCCTTGCTGGGATCACCATAATTGGGTTGCAACTTGATGGCACATAAATACAGAAGAATTCCAAATGGACTTTTTCAGGTTGGATCTAATTTCAAAATGAACTTTTGATGAAAGCAGATGAAGCCTGTAATTGCTAAGTGCAAAGGAGTCTGAATTGATTCCTGGAATTAATTCCTACCACTCTTTGAACTTTTCACTGCCATTTCCTAAGCAGCCATAAACTAACACTACCTACGGGATATTAAGGTAAGTTTCTACTCAAGCAGACGCTGAAGGTTCTAGAAATACCAACTCATATGAATTATGTATTACAGCAATATTATAACAGTCCATGATCTTACCATCCCGTCTGTTGAGCTTTGCAAAGCTGGGTCCATGATTGCTGGAGAGTTCAGAGGAGCTGTCAAAAGCTGTCATGGGTAATGAGAATACCAATGGCTCCTCACAGTTATCTACAGAACAAGAGAAAGTACAGCAGACATCAAATATAACAGAAATACACCTCTAGCTTACTGTTAATAATTTTTTTTTTGCAGAATCATCTGATTTCTTACATGTTGCTTACTAATTAATGAGCTGCTTTTGGAATAGAAGTATAAAGTTATAATAGACTTGTGAACAAACTGAACCCCCTTCCCTGCCAACAGGAGGTATTTATACTTGACTCTGTTCACACTGCAATGGAACATAGGATAAGCGTTCAACAAACCATGTGGGAAATGACCCAAGTCAGTGAAGGACAACATCTCCTACTCAGTAGGTACAATGCATGCCTTTGGCTTCATTTCAAGAGCAAAGTATGCCTTTAGACATTCTAGAAAGTTGTGCCACTTTTGGTGGCAAACCCTGTCCCCTATCAGCTGTTCAACAGATGCCACTTTGAACAGGTAGAGGGAAAAGTGGGCTCATGCCTATTGCCCCTGCCCCTCAACTCTATACATAAAGTTATGCATAGTCCTTCAAAAAGAGAAATGAATGGAAGTGCTAAGCCCTGAGCTGTATCAGATTAGTAGATTCTTAAAACAGTTATGGAAGAAAATCTTGCAGGTTTAATTGGATTGCTACTCTGGCTGGCATTACAAACATTGCTAGTTATGTTGACAGAGTAATTGGGTTTTCATTCCGTACTGATCTTATGCATAGCTCTGTGCAGGGGTCATTTCGTAGGAAAAGAGGTGCAGGAGCTCATTAGCATAACTCATTAGCATGACTTATTTGCATATACCACACCCCCGGACATCACCAGAAGGGTGTCAGAAGGCAACACCCACCGCTCAGGCTCCACTGGACTGTTTTGGATTGCTAGCTTTTGGGGGGGGGGACACGCAGATCTGTCTTCACAGAGGAGGGAGAGCTTGTTCCTGAATAAGACTTAGTCTTAAAGGTGCCACTGGACTGTTTTAGACCCAGGGGTGGTGGTTCTGCAGCTTACCTGGCTGCTTCTTGCTCTGACTAAGGGCTGCTGGGAGCAGGGGGTGGGGCTTGTTGCATGTGCCCGCCCCCTGGGCTCTTTACTGCCGGAGCTCCACTCCTGTGCACTTCTGTAGGAAATGACCCCTGGCTCTGTGTGACCCAACTGGGCACTTTGAGAATGCTTTCAAATTATAAGACAACAGTACAGGCTTACAAATGTACCATGAGTTGATGCAACAATCTGTGACCTCTGACTGCAATTAAGCCCAGTACTATAGGCACTATTTGACCAAACGCCACAAGCAACTGCTTCTGCTGTATGATCATTGGCATCATGTGTGAATTGTGTACCTCCTGGTCATTTGAATGCAACCACAAGGTTGCCAAAATACTCTCCAAGGATTGTTGAGTTCCAGTGAAAAGAATGGGAAAGTAATATTGTCCGGCCTAAAAAATGTTTAGATTCTTACGAAGTATCTTAATAGAATGTCAGTTTAAACAAAAGGATATCTATTTGAAATAATCATAACAAGTATAACTTCTCCAAGAATATTGTTAACCTGTCACAGCACAGACTCAGCCCTGCAGAGGAACCAATTCTTTCACATGGACTTTCATTCTGCCCCACCAAACCTACATAGATGATTCAGTTCTGCGGGGACCTAGAAAACGTTTTCCATCATCTACGTCTGAAGGAGTACTTCCAACATACACAAGAATAGAACAAGAAAGAACAGGAAGCATCTTCACAGCACACCATCACACAATCTACTGGAGAATAGTTACCATCCCTCCAATCCACTAATGAACAGGATATTCAGCACCACATACCATCAAAACAATGCTACAAGAAAAGAGACTCCACATGGACCCCTCCTGATGGTTGCAATTCCACACTGTATCTTTACATAGAATGCTTTCGCTACAAACAGATGTGATGAACAAAAATACATCACATACAGCACAATCTGAACCATGCTGAAAGGAATGCCATAGACAATCTCAGGAACAATCTGGATATCTCAAATACTGCTTTTTACAAACAACTGGACTCAGACCCCACACAGGAATACAAAAAAGAACTATACAAGATTATAAAGGAATTACCACTGCACATTCAGGAACTAATCCTTTCAGACACACCACCAGAACCTTGACCAGGTATCTTTTATCTTCTACCCAAAATACACAAACCAGACAACCCAGGATGTCCCATTGTCTCAGGTATAGGCACTATCACCGTAGGGGTATCTGGATACATGGACTCTGTTCCAAGACCCTATGCCATCAATGTTCCTAGTTATGTTCGTAACACCACAGACTTTCTGAGGAAAATACAATCTTTGAACAACCTTCCAGAGAATACTATTTTAGCCACCATGGATGTGGAATCTCTGTATACCAACATCCCACAGAAAGATGGATTACAAGCTATAAGGAATATGATTTCTGACAACAACACAGCTGACTTTGCCACCAAACTGTGCCATTTTGTTCTCACCCACAACTACTTCAGATTTGGGGACAACCTGTTTCTCCTTATCAATGGTATCTGCATGGGCATCTGCATGGCCCCACAGTAAACATCTTTATGGCTGACTTGGGGCAATGCTTCCTAAATTCCCACCCACTCATACCTCTCTTATACTTGTGTTACATTGATGACATTTTTATTGTCTGGAAACATGGTAAAGAAGCCCTGGACACATTCTCTGATCCCTTGGAGGAGAACTCTCTCTCCCTGTTCCTGCTCTTCCTGCTGCTCAGTGTTCTGTTCACCTGAGATGCTGTCCTGCCATGTGGTCTGTTGGTGAACAAAGGGACTGCTGTGTGAGTTGAGCACATGTTTGCAAAGATGGGTGTCTTGATCCTAAAAATCCCTTGGTGCTCCTTGGATTATTCTAATGGACAATCTTGGACTATGGATTCCTGAAGTTGGTAATTATGCATATCTCTAACGTGTAGTTAAGGCAAACTGACTTAGGTTTCTTATTTTTTTATTTTTTAAAGATTTTATTGATTTTTTATTTCACCTACATTACTATAGAAAAAGAAAAAGGGGAAGAGGAAAAAGGAAAAAGGGGAAGGGAAAAAGGGAAAAAGGAAGAGGGAAAAGGGAAAAAAAATAACAAACTAAAATAATAAAACCCCGGGGTATAGACAGTAAATAAAAAGACCCACACTATATCTAAAAGCCCAAGAAAGGAAGGTCTTATACAGTTAGTATACAGTTAGTAATAAAAGTTATAGTTTTTCGATTGAGTCAATGAATTTAGGAGTTAGTGAGTCCATTTTAGTAATTTTCAAATTTTCTTCTCAGTGCGCACAAAGTCTCTTTCATCCACGTCAGTTGTAAATCTTTCAGTCATAAGAGTTACTTGGGTACTCTTAGCCGCAGGTCATACGTATCTCTGGCCGTGCCTCCTTCTGCTCCTGCTGGGGCTCCGTCCATCTCTTTCAGGTTCTCTGCAGAGCCTCTTCCGTCTGACTGTTCTTCCATTTTCGATCCAAAAAACTGCTTCAACCATTCTTCCGCTTTAAATACTGAGTCTATTTTCTCTCTCTTATCCTTGTATTTGAACTGCACGCCCTCGGGATAGAGCCAGTTATATTGAATCTGGTTGATCTGAAGTGTTGAGATAAGCTCTTTGTATGCTTTTCTCTTCTGCCAAACCTCAAATGGAACGTCCTTTAGGAACCTGATGATTTCTGATCCCAGCTGAAGGGTTTTGGCTGCAGTCGCTTTGAGGATATCATCCCTTGTCTGTCTTCGGAGAAACTTGACTACAATCTCACCCGGCATGTTGTTTTGCTTGATATATTTAGAGTAAGATCTGTAAACCACTTCGATTTCTCTTTGCGCTTCAAGTGATTCAATGCCGAGTGTCAAAGCGATTAGCTCTGCTGCCACTTCCTTCAAGTTTTCTCCTGCTGTTTCAGCCAACTCTTGAAATCTGAGAACTTTATTCGCTTTATCCATCTGTAGGTTCAATAGTCTTCTCTCTTGAAGATCTTGCTGTTGCTCCAACAGACCAACCTTTTTCTTCACCTTTTTAGTATCGTGTGCTGTTTCTTTCAGCCTTTCTTCAGTTTGAGCCGATTTTTTTTACAAGCTCAGAAATTTGCTGTTGCTGCTTTGCAATACTCTGGTTCGAAGCAGACATTAATTGGTTAAGGCTATCGAGTCTCTCGTTTATGGGCTGGAGCAGTTCCTTTAACATGGAGAAAACATCTCCTTCATCTACTTTCGGACTTTGCCCGCCTCTCATAACTTTTGATCCTCTTCCACGGACGCCGGCCATTTTCAGCTTTGTTTATACTAAAGAGAGCCTTTTTCACTCCTCTTCAGCAAATGCAAATTTATCAGCAAAAAGAGCTAAGTCTTTGGCACACTTGAGTGCTTTTCATTTCTCCTCCCCCCCCTTTGATACACAGTTCGGTTTGTTTACATTTGGGAAACACTCCCGGCGCCGTTATAAGCGGGGGGTGTTCGTAACTCACTTTTGGAATTTCTTCCGCTTGTCTCGTCTCCGATTCATTGACGGTCTGGTCACAAACACCTCTTAATCATCGCTTCATTCGCTGACCTTCTTGCTTGTCCCAGCCGGCATTCAGCTATGCTCGGTAAAAACCGAGCCTCTCAGGGGGTGGATCGATTAGGGCAAAGGGAGCGCCTCAATTCTCCGGCATCGAGCCATCGAAGAGTTCGCCCCCCAAGTGCCCCCGACCTGGAGCCTCTCAACCCGAGGCTCATTAGGTTTCTTATTTTGAAAGCCTGCTAGTCTATGCTAATTCTGTGCTGAATAAACTTATTCTGGTTTCTAACTTGTCTAATGTTGTAACTTGAATTCCAAGTCTCTTTCCTGTGCCTACCGGGTCACATGCTACCATTGAGTATTAAGTGTGCATCTCTGAGGAGGTGCTAGTGTGTTCTGTCTCAAAGGCTAACCTAAAGGTTTAGAATTCCTCCCTTGGGGAAAAGCCGGGACTAGTTAAAAAGGGATTCTGGTGGTTATTGTCCTGAAATCCAGAGCGGGCAGTCTACCTCTCTGGGTTGTTGGTAAGTGTAATATAAAAGTGTAGGTTTCCCCCTCATTCCTGGACAGGCGTGGGGGCAAGAATCTATACACACATCCATTTCGCTTTGAAGATATTCCGTTTTCAAATCTACAACTGGTGCGATTAGATCAGCCAGCCCTTGTTTTAGATTCTCTCCTTTTGTCTCAGGAACCCCCTGGAATCTCAGGATAAACCTTGCTTTTTCCATTTGTAATTGCAACAGCTGAGATTCACCAAAAATTCTTTTCTTTTCCAGCTCCTGTACACGCTTCTTCACCTTTTTAGATTTGGCATTAACTTCCTTCAGTGTTTCTGCTGTTTGCTCAATTTTTTAGTTTCATTTAGTTCCAGTTGTTGTGCAGTGAAGTTCTGGTTCAAAGTAGTCAGTTGCTGATTGATGTTAGTCATCTGGTCCAGCAGAGGGCTCAAAGAGTCAGCTAATAGCTGTGAAAGCTCACTGGTAACTTCCGGTCGTGGGCTTCTACTTCCAGGAGGAGGCTTTAAGTGCGATGGTTTCTCTTTCTCACCTCTCCGCCCCACCATTTTTGAGGATTGTTTACTTTTAAGAACGTTTGCCAAAGTCTCTGTTTTCCACTAAAATGCTTTACTGCGCTTTTGTGTATTTCTTAAATCAGTTCTATGGCTTTTACATCCAGCGCCCTCTTTTTAAAATGCTCCATTTGGATTTTGCATCTGGGAGTTTCACCCCCCCCACGCTCGCTTACAACAGAGGGGCTTTCTCACCAAAGTTCGGTGTTCTGCTTTCAACTCAACTCACAGTTCATTGTTGGTCTTACGACCGGCTTAAGGTATGTGTAAATTGCCCAATCTTCACGCACTTGTCCCGGTCAGCGACTCTTTTGCTATGTGGCTGCACAGCGGTAGGACCTTCGGGGTGGAGGGAAGCCTCAATTCCCTGGCATCGAGCCAGTTGAAGAGGCAATCCCTCAAAAGCCCCCTGGCTAGCTCCAGGGGGGTAGTGAACAGTCACCCCCCTCCTAGCCACTGGCGTCCAGATCATGCCCCTGGGAGCTCACCAGGGTCGCGTCCACCATCGTGCCGCCAAAAACCGGAAACCTGATTTATTTTCAAACTGTTGGTTCAGGTTCAACCTTCTGGGACAACAGAAAATAACTCCGTACCATCTTCTATATGACAGCCTTTCGGATACTTGAAGATGGTTATCATATCACTTCTCAGTCATCTCCTCTCCAGAGTAAATGCCATTGACAACTATTCTCTGAGTATGGTTTTCCAACCAAGAGCTGAATTTGGCATCCCAATTCAAAATGGGCAGAGAATAAATCTTATTGTGAGAGCCTGAAGCATTTCATGCCTTGACTATTCTAACTTTAATGAAGCATTCTCACTGTCACACATGCACATACAGCCATATTTGTATGATCTAAAAGTTCCTTGTGGAGCCTGAGATTTTGCTAAGCCGCAGGGCTTCTCTGCTAATTATATACTCAAGTTTTCCTCCTGAGGAGATTGAGCTAAAATCAGTGGTTTTATGCTTGAGTAAAAGTCATTGCTGTATGTACTAACAAGCCTGAAAGCAGGTAATAGACAAGGAAATGAGCAAACCTGTTTTTCTCTAAAACGTCATTTAAATTATAAAACAGTGTGGGTACAAAAGTGCAACGGAGGCAGGGGCACCATCATGAGAATGTTTTCAGAAGATCAAGTAATTAAAGATTTGGCCTCCTGCTATTCCCAGGAGTGATGCCATTCCCCTCTAGTAGTCACTGGGAACTCTACAGCAAAACCACAGAGTTTCCAGCGATTCCTACAGAGGGTATGATGTCACTTCCAGGTTTTCCTGGAATCAACTGCCTAGCAACAGTGGAATCAGCTGCCTAGGGAGGTGGTGAGCTCCCCCTCACTGGCAGTCTTTAAGCAGCGGCTGGACAAACAAATGTCAGGGATGCTCTATGCCAGTGATGGCGAACCTTTTAGAGACCGAGTGCCCAAACTGCGACCCAAAACCCACATATTTATCGCAAAGTGCCAACACGGCAATTTAACCTGAATACTGAGGTTTTACTTTAGAAAAAACAACTCATACATTAACTTAAGATGATCCAAACAAAATAAGGAATGCAATCCCAAATGCTTTCATTTACTTAAAATTATTTGGCAGAGAATTCGACACTTTAATGATGGTCTGGGCGTGGCTGGGGTGATGGCACATGTGCCTGCAGAGAGGGCTCTGAGTGCCACCTCTGGCACCCGTGCCATAGGTTCGCCACCACTGCTCTATGCTGATCCTGTATTGAGCAGGGGGTTGGACTAGATGGCCTGTATGGCCCCTTCCAACTCTACGATTCTATGATTTTTCTCAGGCAGGACTTGGCATGTTACCCCAAGCCACCTTCCCTTGTCAGCCTTAAGCACAGCTTTACTGTACTCAGTCTTTAGAAACTTATCCTTCTGCAGCTCACTCTGCAGTTGATGCCAAAAGAAGGGATGATTCAGATCCTGATCTCATTCAGTATTTGGAACATAGCATCTTATCCTGAACCTGGTGGGCACACCTGCCGAGGGGCTAAATGCACCGACATAGCCACTTCATGCCAATCAATGGGGGCAGACAAAACAATTTCAAAAATACTGTCACAGACATCATATCTATAATTACCTTGATACTCAAAAGGATCCAACAAAAGGAGCTATATTTTATCTGTATTCCTAGAGTATTGATTTGTAACCCCCCATTTATAAATTTAAAGATTAAAAGACAACAGCTCTAATATATCGTGTTACATTCAGGGCAGGAAGAGGTGAGCAGCCTGAGGGGACAGTCCAGCTGTTCAGCAGCCAGCTGAGAGGATTCTTCATGCACAGTTAGGCTGCGATCACAGACGCCTTTAGAGCTAACATAGGTGTGAATGCCTGACAGATCTAAAGGGAGCGATCAGACAGCAACATCTGGGAAGCGTCCCACAGTCGTTGGCAACACATGCTGCTCCGCCGCAGAAGTGGAGTTAAAAGACACCAGGGAAAAGTCTGATACTAAACAGGTTCCAATGGGCCACGGACGGACTTCCCCCTGTCTGATCACTCGAGCACACACTCATGCCATTGGGATGGACTGATCTGGCCATCCTGGCTCAGTGCTGTTCCCCCCCCCTCGCCGTATGCACATCATTGCAGACTCCATAGGGGGCCCTCAGTGCAGAGATGCGATTCCTCGTTTATGTGCATGGGAAATGGACGGCCAACCCCCCCCCCCCACTCACCTGCAGTTGTGTCTGATCACACAGTCATGGGCTGCGCCTGCAGCTACAAAAGAAGGTGTGATCTCGCAACTGCGTGTCAAATTCCTCTGGAGGAAATAACCTCGCTTCCCCACCATTTCAACTGGTGTGTGTGACCGCAGCCTTAAATTGGTCTTTGTTGGGGTTGACTTCGCTCTATGGAGCTCACAAAATAAAACTTGTTTTTAAAGAAGCAAAAATAAAAAAGGATTTTGCGCAATGTACTTTTGTAAATGCTTTTTTCAAAATATTTTTCTCGGATATCGTTTGCTGCCTCCAGAACTGATAAGAAGCTACTAAAAATGTTTAAGAGTTTTGATTTATTTATTTTTTGGAAGTGCATGTAATATTTGGAAGTAAGTAATAAAGTTCCTTTCCTTCTTTGGCATGTGTGCTAAATGGCTCTAAATATCACAGAGAATGAGTGCTCCCTGAAAACCAGTCAGATCATAAATGTCTGTAGAACAAACTTGGAGTCCAGTGGTACCTTTACGACCAACAAAAGTTTATTTGAAGTATGAGTTTTTGTGTGCATGCACACTTTTTCTACTACATTGGAATGGAAGGCAGAGTTCAAAATGTCTCTGTGTGACATTCATGCCAGCTCCCCTTAGAATGTGATTGCCTCACAGAAGGTATTGAGTCCAGTGGCACCTTTAAG